CCTCAGCGATCAGCACGGATCAGCTCCAGGCATGACGAAGCAGATATCGTCCTCTTTTGGAAGACCAAAGAAAGTAGTTTCGCTTTCACAACGAAGCACACAGCGTCTTCAGGACATGGCGGCAGCGGCAACAATACTACAGCGAGAATAAAAGTTACGCCTTCTTTCTTTGCGTGAACATTTGGGCTGTGTTATGCAAATCTTCCCACATCGTGATGTAGGTATGTGGGGGCGTGTTAGAACGAGCCGTTTTAGGTAGGTGTGGCTGACTCTTAACTTTTATAAAGAATATCTCTTTGGATTTAAGACTTTAGTCTTTGCAACTTTACAGATCTTCTTTATGCACCAAGAGCTTGTAACACTCCAAAGAGAAAGGAAAAATTTAAATCGCATCATATGACCCCTTTAATAGCGAATATGCCATGGCGTGAGCACAACTGGCTCTTAAAAGGAATGGGAGATGAGACTCTGATTGGTTTATAGCATGTTATGCCCAAAACACACCCATTACTCATAAAGAGAATAGGGACAACCCTTTTAGACCATGCACCGGGCGCGCCGACTGTTTTTCCCGTCGTTAAACTAGCAAAAGTGGATTCGGACACCCCCTAAGTGCACCTGCCGCCGTGCGCTTTAGACCATGCAATCAGATCGTTAAAATAGGGCCCTCAGTGTCTCACAATGAAAAATGAAATGAAAATGTTTCTTACATAGTTGTTTTCACATTCCTTTAACTAGTGCTGTTGCACAGGCAGCTTCACTAAAATAAAATATTTGTTCACTTCAGTTCAATTCAGATGATCATGAAGTCATCAGTGCCCGTCATGGCCCTGATCGCACTAGTGGTGTCCAGGGTGCAGGCATTTATTTCAGTTGGGGGTAGCGGAAACACCCATGTGACCATTACTGACCATGCTGTAATGGCGAAGATCAATGAGGTGTGTGAAGCAGTGGCTGAATCAGAAGGAAGAGATTTCAAACCCACGGTGAGTCTGTGTACAAGCAGAGGCATAAAACAGCACTACCATGAAAACTGTGCACTTCTTTGGAAGACATATAGACCAAGTCATTTTTCAAAATGATGACACATAATTTAATTTCCCACTTTAACTCAGGGCCCTTCAGCAGAAGAGCTGCTGCGTGCGTGTCTGGGCAGAGCCACAGGTGAGGTATCGGGGGCCAAGTTCCGCACAGCACTGAATCAGATCTACAAGCAGAATGGCTTTGTGGACCAGGACTTCATGAGCAGCGCACCACACCACTTCAATAATGAGGCCTTCAATGAGGGACGCAACCTTATCATTCAGGGGACTGCGGCCATTAAAGCGAACATCCGCACCGACAACTTTCAGTCTGCCCGAGAAACACTGGGACGAGTGTGTCACACACTGCAGGTCAGCAAGAGGGCGATACATCAGTATCAGTGACTATGACATTGCACAAGCATATTGCCTCAGAATTGCTCAAGAACATGTTTTTATTAACTATTTGTTGACACTTTTACCTATTGAAAATACATTAAGGACTAAAAACATACAAAATCTAAACCCCTAATAAATGTAAATATACATGGTTCTCTAAAAGGTGTGTCTTTAAGCAACAACACAAATCTATATGTATGTATACAGTGGTATATACACAAAAATTACTAGAACACTAGTATTTTCACCAGCTAAAAACGGGTTTAAGTCAGTTATTTCTATCTTTTGCTGTAGTGTGTCAGTAGGAAATATCAGTTTACATTTACAAACATTCATTTTGCCATTAATTGTAATAATCCAGTGAGATTTTTGTTTGCACAAGGAGTGCTCCACACAGAGATCTAATCTCACCATCATCCAGTCTGTCTGGAATGACATGAAGAAACAGAACAAACTGAGACAGACTAAATCCAGAAGAACTGTGGCAACGTCTCCAAGATGCTTCAAGAGAACTGCCTGCAAAGCTACAGTACTGTTAAAAGTTTTAGGCACTTGCTGTAAAATAAGGATGATGCCAAAAATAATGTCATAAAACTTCTATTAACTAAATTAAATCAACATTTGGTGTGACCATCCTTTGCGTTTAAAGCAACTTTTGCCCTCGGTGCACTTGCGCATATTTTTTCAGGTAGCGTTGCAGGCAGGTCTAAAGCATCTTGGAGACGTTGCCACAGTTCTTCTGGATTGAGTCTGTCTCAGGTTGTTCTGTTTCTTCATGTCATTCCAGACAGACTGGATGATGGTGAGGTCAGATCTCGGTGCGGAGCACTGGCTGTTGTCAGACAAAAATCTCACTGGATTATTACAATTAACGGCAACATGAATGTTTGAAAATGTAAATGGATATTTCCTACTGACACACTAGAGCAAAAGATAAAAATAACTGACTTAAAACCATTTTTAGCTGGTGAAAACACTAGAGTTCTAATAATTTTGGCTACCGCTGTATGCGTGTATATATATATATATATATATATATATATATAAAAACATCTGTAATAGCTGGTGAAAACACTAGAGTTCTAATAATTTTGGCTACCGCTGTATGCGTATATATATATATATATATATATATATATATATAAAATCATCTGTAAGGATAAAAACATATGTAATAAGAAGTGTTTTTGCTAATGGTTGTGACACGTTTCCTTAAAAAGGTGTATCTTTAAACAAACACAAAATAAAACTTTCATCTTTAATATTGTCACGGCCCATGATTGTAGATAGCGCATGAGGAAGGAGTAACCAAAATAGACTTTAATTCCACTTTAACATAAAGAACAGGCGCGCTAAATAGCATCAATGCACGTGTACCATTAAATCAACATTAATCCAGGACGAAGAACAGACAGAAACTGAAGGCTTATAAAGACAGGGAAACAAAGGAGCAAACGAGATGATCAATCAACACAGGTGAACAGAATGAAGGTGATTAACTAATAATGAAAACAGGAACCAAACCAAATATGGACAAACAGGAACATACACGTGACAATTATGTTAAGCATTCATGTTACTTCATGTTTTTTTCCCCCCAGGATTTTTACAGCCACAGTAACTGGGTTGAATTAGGTAACGAAAGTCCATATGCCAACCTCATCAAACCGGATCTCAACATTGAGAAGATTGCAGGTACATAAAGCCAGTGGGTGTGATTTATGAGAGAGACTCATATGTGGAAAAAAAAAAAAGAGATTACGCCATTTTTTTAGTTGACATGTCCAATGTTCATGTGTAATAGCTCTTAATAATCAATGTTTTTAATGAAAACTGGAGATAAGTGAACAGATGACTTGGTGCTTAACTGATAACAGGTTACACTCAGTTGGGAGTACATATCATATTATGTGAGATTAATCTATGTTGACTGTTCCTAAACAGCAAATAAGTAAATTGAGTGCATGATTGTGATTTGCATGTGAATGTGTTAATGTGCAGACATTGCAATGCCAACATGCAGTGACTGTGCCAGTGGTACCTGTCCAAACCAGCTGCTTCCTGCCATTCTGAATGGGAAGTACCTCACTTCAGGATATATGGGCTTGTTCTCCCCTAAAAAACCTCAAGGTGAGGAGACCTACCAAGAGACACGGATGAGCAAACATACTGCAAAAAATTCAAGTTAAACTCAAAATGTATTAGCAACTACTTAGTAACTTAACAGTCTTGGTTTTGCAAAACCTAGTAACTATTTAAATAGATAAGCTGTTGAAAACACAAATCAAACTCAAATGACCAAGTTTTGGTGTTCAGCCCTTTTAAATTGTCGTAACTGAGCGTGGACTTATTTCAAATAATGTTGTTGTAACTAGGATGTTGGTGGATGTTGTAAGGTTGTGGCTCAACTTATTACCTGACACACTTTGCACATTTTTTTTCTTTCCATTATTACATAATACAGCAATCTATTTGATATATTGTGTTCATGGGGTAAGGAGTGGTTTCAATTAAGCAGTGTCCAAATTTACCAAAGAAAACAACTTTGTGACAGCAATTAAAAAAGTAAAAGCAGAACTAAAACATCTATTAGTTAAAATAGTGTAGTTCAAGTAGTGTAAGTGAAAAAAGCTAATTCAAAATGCCTTTGACATATAAAAAATAAGGTATCTGATTTATTCCATTTACTCACTTAAGCAACACTTCAATAGGGATTAGAAGTGGAAAAAGGAGCGAAAACTACTGTTTAAAAATGGATTTGAGAAAGCTGATTTGGAGAGAAAATATTCTTAAGTTTTAAAACTTCAGAAACTCTTATTCAGTGTTGGGGATAACGCATTACAAGTAACGCGAGTTAATCAGATTACTTTTTAAAAGTAACTAGTAAAGTAACGCATACTTTTTAATGTAGAAGGAAATATCTGAGTTACTTTTTCAAATAAGTAACTCCAGTTACTTTGTTTCCCATGTATTGACTGACAGCTCTCGTGTTGCCATGTTGAGAGAAATCGGGAGTAAGTGCAGAGGCGTTGTGTGCGCTGTGTGAACATGATGTTACTGTAGTTCTAGACTAAATATGAACATGTATTTACTCATCTCACCTCAATGTCTTTGCTACTTACCTTCGATAATCCAATTCAACCATACTCATAAGCAAAAACAACACATTTGTGTTTGATTTTTGTTATTGCTGAATAGTGTTGAACTTTCTTCTCTTGTGTCATATTGTTTGAACCCTCTACTGTACAGACATGAATTTACATTTGGCATATTCATTTCACTTTTGGTGTGCAAGGGCTTTCTTATATTTTTATATTAAAAACAAACAAGCAAGCCCTGCCCAGATTTAAAAAGTAACTCAAAAGTAACGTAACACATTATTTTCCATAAATGCAATTAGGTACTTTTTTAGGGAGTAACGCAATATTGTAATGCATTACTTTTAAAAGTAACTTTCCCCAACACTGCTCTTATTTGTCTTTTATGTGTAAAAGGAAAATGTAGCCATGGTGGGGAGACTGATCTCAGCAGTAGCCAGAATCCTCGCGGTGGGATCAGTAAAGATGAGAGCCATTCCCATAATGCTAATCTCCACAAGAATGCTGTGAACCTGGCAGCTGAAGCCACAATGGAGCTCCTAGAGGACATCCGTGGAGCTATAGGAAACAATAACTACCTTCGGTATGGAGATAGATTCCTCATATCTTTAGACAAACCTTCTTAAACTTTTAAGAGATTTTATAACTTGCAAAGCTGGGAGTTGTTCTCTTAAAGGGATACTCCACTCCAAAATGAAAATTTTGTCATTAATCACTTACCCCCATGTCGTTCCAAACCCGTCACGAAAACATCGCATCCGTGCAGCGCTGCTGACACAGAATAGCGTACGCTGCTTGCGTTCAGCACATATTCTCCAAAATGGACCTTGACAGTGTAATTTACTTGGCAGTCAATCGGACAGTCACAAACCTCCCGGTTTTCATCCAAAATGTCTTAAATTGTGTTCCGAAGACGAACGAAGCTTTTAGGGGTTTGGAACGACATGAGGGTAAGTGATTAATGACACAATTTTCACTTTGGGGTGGAGTATCCCTTTAACAGGTAATGAATGGTTTAGATTTATGAGATGTTCTGTAATATCGAATGTATCTAATAGTAAGTTTCAGCGAGATCTGTTTCACACACATTTTTATAATTTCAGGGCACATCTTCTCATATTATAATTTTCCTCTCAAGTTCCTCCTGTTCTCAGAGCTCTTGTAATTACAGGGACGGGTTGGATGTGGGATTACTGCTTTGATGTGAGTGTACAGTGACCCAAAGGGTCACAATGCCACTGTCTGTTCTCCTCCAAAGCTCACTTATCACAGCTCTCAACTTCCTGCTGAGAGCAGAGCTTCAGTGATCTCCACACAATACAGTGCATTATCTGCAGGAGGGTGCACTAGTATTGTCTTAACCTTATGACCCTTTGACCCCTCACACCATAAACAAAAACACAATATCAGTCATGAGGAGCTAATGTTCCCCAAACCTCCCGGTTTTCATCCAAAATGTCTTAAATTGTGTTCCGAAGACGAACGAAGCTTTTAGGGGTTTGGAACGACATGAGGGTAAGTGATTAATGACACAATTTTCACTTTGGGGTGGAGTATCCCTTTAACAACCTGTTCTCTACACCACTGTTCAAACGCTTGAGGACAGTAAGATTTTTTTTGAAAGCTATTAATATTTGTATTCAGAAAAGATGCATTAGATTGATCAAATATTTGTAATGTTACAAATATACTTCTATTTCTAATAAATGCTGTTCTTTTCTATTCATCAAAGAATCCTGAAAAAACATATCACAGTTTCCACATTTTTAACAGCACAACTGTTTTCAATTTTATAATAATAAGAAATGCTTCTTGAGCAGAAGATACATTAAGTCTTATTGCCCACATACATCTTAATGGTGTATGTAAATATAAATGTATTTTTTTAAAATCTGGTTTTGAATCCATTAACCAAAATATTTCTCTCTTTTTCCTCCATCAGGCTGATGGGTATTTCGCGATCTGCAGTGCTGGCTTTTGTGATCGACACCACAGGCAGTATGGCAGACGACATTGCAGAGGCCAAGAGAGTCGCCTTCAACATTATTGACAGTAAAAAAGGAACTCAAGATGAACCATCTGAATACATTCTGGTGCCGTTTAATGATCCAAGTGAGAGCAAAAAACATACATAACAGCACATAAAAATATTTGGTAAAAAACATCAATTTTAATTACACTGAACTGTTTTTATTGATGCAATTTATTTATTACCAGCATTGGTTCATTATCTCAATTTTCCTGTGAAAAAAACATGCAGTGCTGCCTTAGTATTTGACCGAAATTGGGTATCTTAGGAGACATAAGCAAAATTAAGCATAATAAAGGCTTTGTGATATGGTGACTTAAAATATTGCCTTTGTAGGTAGCTCACTAGGATTTGAAATAAGGCAATGATGTACGTTTTCATTCGTATTATGGCAAACGTGATCAGATATAGTCTAAATTAATATAAATCTAAATTATTTACAGACACAATATGTATATATTTTGCATGAATTTGTAGAATTTGGACCACTAATAAGAACCACAGACCCAGATGTGATGAAATCAGAGATCTCCAAGATCAGAGCTGATGGAGGAGGAGATATCCCAGAAATGTGCCTGTCAGCACTTCAGGTATTGTGTTGTGTGGCCTTTCAGCCAATCATCTCAGTCGTCATATGTGAATACTACCAATATAGTTCCCAGTTAGAACTAAGAAATATTAGATTATTGAACAAGGAGTCAAGGTTCCTCTTCTTTCTAACCTTCGGTTTCTCCCACAGTTGGCTCTGACAGGAGCTCCTTCCTCCTCATATATATATGTGTTCACGGATGCTCCACCTAAGGATACACACCTGGAGAAAACTATAGCTGCCCTTATTAGCAGCACCAAGACTACGGTAAATCTATCCATCCTTGTTTCACACGCAGTCCTTGCCATCATAAATTTCACCAGCCCTCCATCAGTTTCCCACTTTTCCATCTCTTGGCCTTTGTTTTCAGGTATCTTTCTTACTGACAGCATCAAGCAGGGGGAGAAGGGCATTGAGTGCATCGTCACAGTTTCAGATGTATTATGACATGGCCTTGGCCTCTGGCGGTCAAGCCATTGAGGTCTCCAAGTCCAGCATCTCTCAAGCCACTGACATCATTGTCGACACCTCTACATCAGCCCTGGTATGATCAGCGTCTTATAGTCTTTTCACAATTGTCAACATCTCACAAACAAAATGGTTATGCTAGCTCACTGACATTGCAAATACAAAAAACAGCATCTTCAAATAACTTTCTATTATGTCTTTCATTTTTGCAAATGTTTGCACACTCTTTCTTTATCTATCAGGTGACAATTCTTCAGTGCTCTAGGGATCCAGGACGTGTAGAGAATTTCCCCTTCTTACTGGACGGGTCTGTGTCCAACACTACCATCTACATCACAGGAACTGGCCTCACGTTCAACCTGCGCAGCCCCACAGGTAAATTCAGAGACACCTTTAACTAAATAAACTAAAATACAAATATTTTTTTGTAACCAAAATACATTTTCATGATTTAAAAAAAAAAGAAAAGAAATAAATAAAAACTAAATAAAAATGTAAAACTATAATAACCCCAACAAGAATTTATTGTATTATATTGTGTTAAGCTTCAATATAAGATATAAAAGTAAGTTCCTCTTTTATTGCCTAACGGAATACACTTGCTTCCAGGAGTGACTCAATCTAACACTGTTGTCAACGGACCTCTGGGAACAATTCAGAGAGTGGGAAACCTGCAACGAATCCAAGTAAACGGAACAGAGATGGGCCTGTGGCACATTGACATGACGACAACACGGCCCTACTCCATAAAAGTGATGGGTGAGCCATCATGTACTTATTTGATAAATCAATGCAAAGCCAAACACTAAAGTTATTGCCAACCTGTTATGAGAAGAATACAGATAAATGCCAAGTTCTCTCATGAAACTCAGGCATGTTGGGTCCTTAACGCAAACTATGATATTATTTACAGCATAAACCTACAGCGTTAAACCAAGCTGATTGGTTCATGTTGCACACACACCCACTGAGTTTGCTGCTTTACATTTAAATGGCTGGTTAGCATTCGCTTGAGCATTTCAGAGTTCCTCTGAAACTCTCCACCTTCCCCAGCTCCACCTGTATAGATCTGCTACATAGACTATTTGTGCAGCAGCAGTATGTCTTAAATACAGCACCGTATCGACAGCAATATCAGCAATAATCTAAAACAACAGCAATAACCAACAACAGCAACAATTCAGCAGCAGCAGCAGCAGAGCAGATCTATTCTGCCAAGACCAAATACATTAACATTGTCATATCCATTACCATGATAAAACCTTCAGAGAGTTGTCATGATAGAAATGTGTATTTGTTCTTTACTCTTGTAATATTAGGAGGAAAATGGCTAATGTGGAGTATTGATAAAAAAACATTGTAATTAATTAATTAATTTTGATAGTAATAAAAATGCTGTGGCACTCTGAGATGTATGTTGATAGTATTCAGACCCTTTTTTGCCTTTCTAATTTGAAACCATGTTTTACAGGTCAGAGTGCGATTACATTCATCTACGACTTTGTGGAGGAATTCAAAGGACCCCATCCTGGATTTGCTGCCATTGATGGGCGGCCATCAACAGGTTTAAACCGTTGTCCTGTTTAACTATTAAACAATTCTTATTGAATGATTTGAATGGAAGTGTACAGATATTTTGCTCTTTATAGGCTCACCGGCTAAGCTGCTCCTAACACTGACAGGAGAGAAAGGTCCGGAGGCTCTAGAGCTGCAGGAGGTTGTTCTCATGGAGGTGTCTGGGGTCAAAGTGTCTAATGGAACCATTGAGAAAATGGGTAATGGAGATTACCTGGTTACTGTGAACGAAGTGCCAGAAGGAGAGTTTGTAGTAATGCTGAAAGGAAAAGACAAGACCTTCACCAGCCTGTTCCAGAGGCAGACCACCACACAGATGTCTCAGTCTAAAGTCACCATCAAGGTACAAACTGCATTCTTAGTGCATTCTTCTTATTAAAACTTGAAATTAAAAATTGATTTAAAAATTGATTATATTTGTGGACTGTATTATTTAGCTGATTTAAGTGTTGTGCTGTTAGCTTAGCAACATGCTAACATAAAAAACTAGTGAGTCTCTTGTATGAAAATCAGTCACTTGTAAATTCCCATTATACTTCCTTTAGAAGGCAGTAGGCTGCTCGCTAGTTGTTTAAACAAATCAAATTTGAATTCTAATGCTATTTTCTCTCCATCTACAGGCAATAGCAGACAGCTCCATGCTACCAGGACAAGTATTTAAACTCAATTTTACTGTTACAACCAATGGAACCAGTGGTACCTACACAATCCGTGCAAGGAATGACAAAAACATCCCTATGACACATCCATCAACGTAATTCCTTCACTTAGTTCTCAAATCACTCAGTAATGATTGACACAAGCTTTAATCAGCTTTTCTTATCAAGAACAAAACTCTTTGCTACAATTCTGTTTCTTTGCCCTCACAGGCTCAATCTCATGAGTGGCGGCAGTGCTCAGGGGACAGTGTCTCTCACTCCACCTGGTAATACGGTCTCAGGCACAGATGTTACGCTAACCATCGAGGCAGAAAGCCCTGGAGGAAGCGATTCTAACTATGCTGTCCTTCGCCTTTCTGTTCTCTCCAAGGTAACCTTAGAGGTTTCAGACAGACTGATAAAGCATACTGCTTTTGTGCAATTTATAAGATAAGGAAATGGAATGAGGCATACTTATATGTGGGATGTTATTTCAGTCATTTCAGATTCTCTGCTGATTTTGCACTAGTGGCCCACTAAGAAAATGGACAGTTTAGATTTCTAAATGATTTCTGTGAGTGACAGCCAATTGTTTCTTCACACAAAACAAATTGTGTTTGACTTATGTTTAATATATAATACCATTCAAAAGTTTGGGGTCAGTATGATTTTTTTTTTTTTTTGTCGAAATGAATTATTTCATTTAGCAATGATGCATTAAATTGAGCAGACGCTGTAGTGAATACTTTGACTTAGTTACAAAGGATTTCTATTTTACATAAATACTGTTCTTTGCTGAATTTCTATTCATCAAAGAATCCTGAAAGAAAATGTATCATGGTTTTCCACAAAAATATGAAGCAGCTCAACTGTTTTCAATATTGCTAATAATAATTATAAATGTCCCTTGAGCAGCAAATCAGCATATTAGAATGATTTCTGAAGGATCATGTGACACTGAAGACCGGAGTAATGATGCGTAATAATGATGCTTTGCCATCACAGGAATAAATTACAATTAAAAATATATTTAAATGGAAAAGTTATTTTAAATTATAACATTTCACGCTATTGTTTTTACTGTCATTTTAATGAAATATATATATATATATATACCACATAATTCAATACTAAGCTGTTGTTTCAACTCACCCTTTACCGTTTCATCCAGGTTACTGACTTCACACCTCCAAAATGTGAAATTGTCAATGTACAGGGTATTTGCTACTCCTCCTCTTGCAACTCATCAAACTGGGAACTGTCTGTCAACATCACAGACGGTAATGGCACAGGCATCGAGAGCATTTCCATCCAGCAAGGCAGTGGAAACTTCACCCAGAGGAAAGTGGAAGACGGTGTGATCGTGGTGATGGGTCTGTATGAGGCCTCATGTTGTTCACCTTCTGTGACTTTGTCTGCAGTTGACAAGGTAGGGAACGTGGGCAGGTGCAGTTACACCATGAAGTCCAGCGCAGGCTCGCGCCTTATCAGCATGTCCCTCCCTCTGTGGGCATCTCTGCTTTTATACAGTTTCCTATGTGACGCCTTCCCTCTGTAGTGAAATGGAGTTCATCCAGCCAAATACACAGTCATCCCATTCTTTTATGGCAATATAAATCATTCTTAGATCTCTGAAATTGCATAGCATTTCATCCCAAACATTCATTTACTGGTATTTCCAGCTATGGAGGACTTCCATTGAAGAGCTATGCTGCTTATACAGACCTTACAAACCTCAAAGATAGATTGTGAAGTCATGTGACAGGCAGAAATATAACTCGGGAACCACCAAAGTTATCTTTATTAAAATGAATTTAATTAATTTCCAAATTATGATTGTCATTTTTGTCACATACTAGTTTAGTGTAATATTTGTATGATCAGTACAAATGAATGTTGCAAAAATAAATGTTTTCTAATCCACAATATTACATTTTCCGCCCAAATATAGAAAATGGTTACTTTAGTATATTTTGTGTAACCATATAAGGTCACATATATTTTGAATATCAATAACAAATAATTGTTAAATAATTTTACAAATATTACGCTGATTTCTAAATATGCATTCAAAGAAATTTTATACATAAAGGATTTTTATGTGCCATAAACATAAGGTCATGTGTTAGCTTAGTGTTTTCTCCTTGCATTGAATGATGTGGTACATGTTGCAACATGAACTTGTAGACACTATCTCAACCAGCTATCCAAATGTTAACAACTTAACATAAATTGGAATTTGTATTCAAATATGTCTTTGAGTCTTTTTTTTAAGCAGGCTACAACGTTCAACATGTGCTTGCATGTTTGCCTAAAATGAAAATATACTTTTTACAATTCTTCAGTGTATTTCTGCTCCTGTTTTGCTTTTTATCTCTACGGCAATTCATGTACGTTATTTCAATCTTGAGGTTTATAAATGGTGTGTTAGACAATCTGTGGTATCATACACTGCCACCCCATGGTTGATATTTCTTTCTTATCTGCATCATACTAGTACATTCATATGAATACATAGAATATGCCTAATACAATTTCAAGATACACTGTGGAGCAAACAAACTCAGTTTACATAGGTATCATTTTACAAAATTACTTTTTATTTATATTTTATTGATATTTATAGTAGGATGGACAATAGAAAAACTATCAAAATATATTAAAAAAATAAAGAAGCAGTATATAAGTTTCACGCTGACAAAAGAATAGAAAAATCATCACATTTTATTACTTTACATTTTAAATGTGCTTCATTAAAGCACTTAAAAAAAAAAGAGCATGCACAAAATTAATGCAGCAAAGCAGTTATTTTTTTACTTTTCCATTTTAAAAATAGCATCTTCATAAATGAATTTACAGTCGGGCCTAATACTGTTTTATTTTCTGCAACAGAATATTTATCAGTAGATCAACTGAATGCTTAATATTGAACAATCCAAATTATTATTATTTTTTCATGTAACATGTTGTGTGTTGATGTGTTTCTTGAGATGGGCTGACTGAGTAAAGCGTTTCCCACATTTCTTGCACTCAAACGGTCTTTCCCCTGTGTGGATGAGCTTGTGTCTTTTAAAATTGCCTAGATCCACAAATCCCTTTTCACAGTGGGGGCAGATGTAGCGTTTCTCTCCTCTATGCCCCTGCATATGCATATTCAGAGCGACTCTATGTTTAAACTTCTTCCCACATAGAGTGCACGAGAACGGCTTCTCTCCGGTGTGCATTCGCATATGGGTAGCCCGGTCTGCCTTGGCCAAAAACCTCTTTCCACAAACTTTACAAGGAAATGGCCTTTCTCCAGAGTGAATAAGCTGATGTTTAGTAAGGGTAAAGTGGTATACAAAACTCTTCCCACACTCCTCACACTGATACCGCTTCTCCTCCGCATGGACCTTCACATGCCGGTTAAGACCTCGGACACTAGGAAACGCCTTTCCACACTGGGAACAGGTATAAGGTCTTTCGCCAGTATGAAGTCTCATGTGGTTCTCCAAGGCTGATGCATTGCTGAGGACCCTTCCACACTGGGGACACTCTGTATTTCTCTGCAGTGTTTTGCCCGGAGGTTTTGGTAATAGTTGATTTCCGTTATTTGAGCCAGAATTTGGTGTTTCACTAATCAAGTCGTTCTGCACCTGATCCACCCTCTTATCCTTTACCATAAGTGTGCCATCCTCACCTGCAGGATCTATTTGTCTAGATTTGGAGCAAATCTTTCTCTGTTTTCTAAGTCTAGACTGGAGGGTGGGTGTGTCATCATCTTCTAAAAGGTCTTTATCATTTCTCTCTGTGCAACATGGTGAAAATAGTACGTTCGTTTCGAAGTTGTCAACTGGAGACGCAGAGGTATCTACAGACGGAATGGGTACTCGCCCTAAAACAACGTTAGCGGAAGCGGGAGCTTGTTGCTCCTTCAGTGTTAGCAGAGGTGCAAACTGCCCAGATGGCTGAAAATGGTGCATGGGTGCCTGCTCCGGGGCATCTTGTGGCGTTATCATGATAGGCGAATGCAAATGCAAAGTATCAAGAGATTCAAGCAAACCTGGCGTATTATCGGGTGGAGGAAAAAACTGGTCTGGAGAAGAGGAGAATTGATCGGATTGTGGCGGATATTGAGATTGCGTGAGTGGAGGTTGAGGTGGGTTTAAGGAGACGGATCCCTGAATTGGGTTAACTGGAATATGTGGAGAAGAAAATGGAACATGCGTTGGCAGATAAGAAGGTGGCGTCGCCTGAACTGGATTGTGTGGCAGAACCAAAGGGAACTGAAATGATGGACTTGAATTCACAGAATGTGCTGGCATTACCTGTGGGGATGCAAAAACATGAGATTGAGGAGGAACAAGACTGGATGAGGGAATCCGATCCTGGACTGGTGGAAGAGTATTTGGAGCTGCTGCGACAGGAACGAGTCTTGATGGCATGACAGTGTGTACTTGTGGAGTCATCTCTTGGGCTGGTGTTTTGATGGATTGTGGTGGAAAGAATGGAGGTTGTGTAAGTTGAGAGGAACATTGGGTTAATGGCTCAGTGGCCTGGTTTAGCGAGGCAATGGTTGAAAGAGTTTTCTCAGTATGTGAAACCAATGCCTGAGCTCGCTGTTTGGAGGAATAAGGCTCTGTTACTAAGACTTGGCTTGGAGGAACAGGAGTTAGGTAGGTGTTATGACAGATATTTGACCTCTCTTTCTGAGGGACTACTGTCTGGTTTGATGTTTGAGGATTTGGGTTTGGGTTTGGTCGACGATGAACTAATGAAGCTGTAGGCTTGGTTTGAGGTATTGATGGAGTGCCAGACAGCTCAATCATTGGCACAGACGAGTTAACATTGGAAGCAGGAGTCTGGGTTGAATTGGGAAGCACTGAAGAAGTTGATGTCTGTGCTGGTGCACTGGCATTCTGTCTTTTGTTTTGGGAAGACAAGCCTTCAGTGGTTTCCAATGTTCTTTCAGATGTACCTCGGCTGGGTTGTATAGTCTGATTGGGTTTTTGACCACTGGAATCCACTCTGCGACTACAAGAGGAAGGAATCACTGGTGGTGGTGGTGACTTTCCTCTATGGTTGTTATTGGGTCTGGCTATTGTTTGCAACGCTGATGGGATCACAACTGTGAATAGAGAGGTGAAGATGCAAGAAAGGAACATAAGGAAGACAAAATGTAAATATAAAAAGTTGCAAATTGAGTCCTCAACAGATAGATTAGTTGAGTATCTGAGTGGTGTACACACTATGGGATGGGGTAATTTCATCTGCACTATATATATATATATATTTTTTTTTTTTTTTGGTCTACGGTCCTAACTGTGAAGTACAACTGTGTAAATATTTATGCATATTTTTTATTTGAAAAGGATTGGCTCTTACATGATAAATATATGTAAATGGAAGATTTAAAAAAAACATTCAAGTGTAAAAAGTTCAACTTTTAAAAATGGTTATATAATAACCTATATTTTATTTAATTCTATCAGTTGCTGCTAAATTAGTAAATGCATATTACACCAAGCAGTTGAGTCTCCATTGTGGACTTGTGAAAGAACTACATTTAAGATATGACATATATGAGAATTTTTTCCCTCATTGCTCAGTTGAATTTGTGAATGACTCTTGTACCCCTTTCCACAGTGTCCTTATTTGGCTCTCTGCGCACCAGTATGGGCTCAGCACCCTCTTGCTTTAGTAGAAAGTATCCTGGTGCATAGCTGTTGCATTCAGTCTCTTGAGGCTGAAGACACAGAACATAAAATAATAATGTATAAAGGGGCTATAGCATTAAAATACTATCCACTCCAGAAAGATCAACTATAAACATAAGATTTAAACTCAATCCTAATTGACCTCACCTCACATAGCATTTTCAATCAAGCCTCTAAATATAGAAAACCCTTACAGAGAGGAAATATGACATCAGTCTGTGAACTCTGCTGTTTCACCACATAATTGATATGCAAAACAAAAAAGGGTGAGGGAGGGGAAGAGTAAACACTTACTTTTCTATCATATGACCCGTCATTTCTTACCTCTTTTTTGATGAGGAGCAATGCAAGCTGTCTGTTCCCATCCTCACTGGCACATAGATCTGTGAGTTTATCACTAGTTATGTCTCCCACATTAAGACGTTGTCCTATAAACTGAAGAGGGCTGCATCCCCGGTCAACCAAAGTGGGCTTTTCTGACAAAAAAAAACAACAAAAAAAACCCTGTAAATAACCCTGTTGAAAAAAGCCTAACCGGACTAAACATCTTATGTTTTTAGGCAGGTATACATTACAAATGACAGATTATGAGATAAAATTGGTATAAATATACATATGTTAAATATATTTGTAAAAAAAAAATTCCATAGCTGAATGGTCAGAGAAAAAGGCCATAGAAGTGATTTTTATGTAGGGGAGAGCGGGGCACAAAGTAACACTTTTTGACTTTCTCAGTTTGTGTAAATCCACATGGGGTTCAGAATATAATTTTTTTCATCCACAGTAATTTTACACTTGTCTAGTACAAATATGTCACTTTGTTTCATAATTACAGTATATACGTTTTTTCTTTATTTACCCTCAAAAAATGGAAGTGAAATGTGACAACATGCCCCATGGGGGGGTACATTGTAACAGCTGAGGGGCACGTTGTAACATGACCATATGACCGCTTAAAATGTTATCTGATCGAATAAAAAAAACAAAACAAGACAAACTAAAATATTTTGTCAATAAAATAAAATTATTATTTTTTTCAAATAAAATTATGGCGTTTTTTAAGAATTAAAAATAATCTGATTTTGGAGTTTGACAATGAACACATTGCAACCATACTTGGGACGGCCCACATAAATGAGCCAAAATGCTTTACATGTCTTGAAATAATAATTTCTAAACATTAAACATTGACTGTCAGTCTTTATTCACCTGTTTCTCGTTGTTTCTCATTAAAATTAAAGTAAATAGTCAGTTTGTGTAAATCCACATGGGGTTCAGAATATAATTTTTTTCATCCACAGTAATTTTACACTTGTCTAGTACAAATATGTCACTTTGTTTCATAATTACAGTATATACGTTTTTTCTTTATTTACCCTCAAAAAATGGAAGCGAAATGTGACAACATGCCTCGTAGGTGGGGTACATTGTAACATCTGAGGGGCACGTTGTAACATGACCATATGACCGCTTAAAATGTTATCTGATCGAATAAAAAAAACAAAACAAGACAAACTAAAATATTTTGTCAATAAAATAAAATAATTATTTTTTTCAAATAAAATAATGGCGTTTTTTAAGAATTAAAAATAATCTGATTTTGGAGTTTGACAATGAACACATTGCAATCATGCTTGGACGGCCCACATAAACGAGCAAAAATGCTTTACATGCCTTGAAATAAAAATTTCTAAACATTAAACATTGACTGTCAGTCTTAATTAACCTGTTTCTCGTTGTTTCTCATTAAAATTCATTAAAGTAAATTAAATTACATCGCTAATGTCATAGAATAGCACATTGTAACGCAGTGTTACAACGTGCCCCATCTGCGCAACTGGAATTTAAAACTGGTTAGTGTCTTCTGATAGTTAGCGAAGCATTAAAAAATAATCTAAACTGATAAATATCAGACTGGAGATTAAAATAATAGCAGATTTGTCTAATTTTAAATGAGTAATAAAAACTGATGAAAAATTTACTTAAGCCAGAATTTAAATGTTACTATGGTAAAATAAATATTCAAACCACGTGTGTTACAACTAACACCCCGTTACTTTGTGCATCGCACTCATCGCAAGTTTATTGTTAAATTGTTAAATGCCCTTACATATCTCTGTCACCATTATAAGTGTTTGATCACCACATTTGAGTGATCATTGCAAAAAATGTGTTTATGTATATATATTCTGTTTATGTATATACTGTATTCTATATATAGTACCAGTTTAATTTTGGCGCACGTTTGTTTTCTATATAATGTTGATATGGTAACTAATAAATACTGTAAATTTTGTTATGCTAGCATGTGTGGAAATATTCAAACCACGTGTGTTACTACTAACCCCGCGTTACTTTGTGCCCGGCGCTCCCCTATTTACCATCCGTCTTTGTCTACTCTAAGCCGTTAAAAGTCGTTCTAATTTTCCAGGAAGTGTTTAATGCACGCCATAACCCAGGAACACACTGTTGTAAGAAAAAGACCTACCACACTGCACGCCAATATCACGATGTTTAGAGTCGTTTCCAGTCCTCTGGCTCCCGGCTTCAGAGAATCTCTTGCTCTGGCTGGATGTATCACCTGTCTTCGTGTTGACTTTCTCTTGTCTCAGCTGCACCAATTCCGCTTTCAAGCGCTGCAAAGTGCCATCATAAAGTTTTGTCGCTTCCCTGACAGCAGTCTGTAAAATTGTTTCCATGATGTGCGTGAACTGGGTCTGAAACCCGTCATAATCGTCCGCGCTCGCATCCGGCATGGTTTTAAGTTAATTTTATGGAGAAGACGTTATGATCCCTTTCACAAAGTCAACGAGACTCACAATGACGCGTCCAGAGGAGGGCGGAATACTTCCGCACAGAATGTTAAAAAGTTGTATTTATAGACTGCAGTAAAGATAGTTTGCGGTCTGCTTTTAATATGACACTGAAACGCTCTGAAGCTCTAAACAATGTATACATGTAGATGTCTTGATAAGGCAGAGACACAAAACTTTTTATAACTTATTGATTATTTGTATTTTTTCAAAGTCCATCATCTATATCTTAAGTGGTTTTGATGGATCAAGAATGTAGAAATCAAAATATATTTTATATTAGGCTATATATGCATTACACAGTCCTGCATCTTGACAGAATTCTGCTGATTTCCAAAAAAGGCCTAAGATTGCCTAAATTGATAATGCAGTGAGTTCAAAAATATCAATACAAACTTTCAACTACATGCATTTTTTTTATTTATTTTTTTACAAATTAAGAATAACATTTAACAAATTATAGGCTATAAAACAGGCACTATGACACGTTTAGCACATTGCTTTTAATATTTCATATGCTATCAATAACTGAGAAGTCAACTACTTGATATGTAAGTTTCACAAATGGATTTTGGCAGATTTTACACCATATAACTTCTTTTATGTTATATGGTTTCATAAATAACAAAACTGATTACGTTACTGTAGTTATAGAAGGCCTACATTAGAAAAGGGAAGTACATGTAAATTGCATCCTTTCTAATAGCAGGCTTATAGAGCAGTGGTTCTCGAGTTTTTTTTTTCGTTTTTTTTTTAGATCTTATCTTTGCTACTTCTGTTGTAATAAAATAAGTAAACCACTGATCTATATCTATATCAAAAAAACAAAACAAAAAAAAGACAGTTAACGCTAATGCGAGAGTGTTTCTAATGCAGCGTCTATGGGAGGGATGGTACATTTGACATCGTTCTCTCTTCTGACTGCCGTTATCAGTCTCTCTCAATTTTTTTCCTTTTATTGAAAGTCATGAAAACACTATCGTGGAGTTTTTCTTTTGATATTTGAGCAAATGGGAATGCAAAAAAATATATTTGTGGTACTCTCCCATTCACTGCTCTTCAGTGTTTTCATTAGTGTTAGGGGTCATATGATGCGATTTCAATTTTTCCTTTCTCTTTGAAGTGTTACAAGCTCTTGGTGCATAAAGAAGATCTGTAAAGTTGCAAAGACTAAAGACTCAAATCCAAAGAGATATTATTTATAAAAGTTAAGAGTCAACCACGCCTACC